ATTGGCAAAAAGACATCATTATGGCGTTTGATATCATCACCACACTGACCATGGCTGAGACAAAAAAGAGTTGTCTGAGGAGATACACACACACACACACACACACACACACACACATAAACGGAAGTAAAAAAAAAAAAAAAAAAAAGGGGAAATAGAGAATTTAAGTGCTGCCATTCGTTCATGCCCATTTCTGGATGGCTCCAATGAAGTGAGAAGAAATGTCACAAGACTCACTCCCCAGGTCAGGCTGCAGCAACAGTAACCCCTCAAGATACAGCAAAAGCAAGCACACAAAAGTGTGTGTGCACATACACTCACACACACACACACACACACAAATACACAAGCACTCTGACATGACCGCACTGCAGACTGGGGAGGGCCAAAAAGAGCTGGAGTAGCACAGTCTTTGAAGTGGAGTCCAGGTCAGGATCTCTAACTGGTCACAGTAACAGTCGTGGGAACAGTGCACACCCCTCAACCCAAAGACAATGGACATTTAAACATCCTCCAAACCCACCCCAGACAGCTGTGGCTAAGGCATTATGTGATCTAGATCCAGTCCCTATACAAATCCAATGTGATGCCACATGGCTATCGGGCACATCTGACTCCGTTCCTTTTCAGAACTTCATTTCTTCAGCCCCGTCTTTAAAAACTCACCTGAGTTAAGACAAGTAGACAAGCAGCGAGACATTTGGACTAGCAGACGGCAGGGCAGGCCTGCTGGGGCCTCCTTTTTAATCTGCCGCTGGAGAACACTATCAGCATGGATCAAGCTAGCTTGTTCAAGCTGAGCTTCAGCGGCCTCACGGCCCAGCCTGCTTTTCTCCATGGGAACCTTCCCCACAGACGCCCTGTGATTGGCTCATATGATCACTAGACACTCTATCTTACAATACAGACAATAGCAGCCCTCCAGCAGGATGAGAGCTGAAGAATGATGACAGAAAGGGGCTTCTTCCTAAAGATTTTGCTCTTCTGAAAGGCTGCACTCTACAAGCTGACAAGAAACTAAAGACAACAAGTACCGTATGTTGACGCACATGACGTGCAGTTAGTTGGTTAGCTCTACTGTGCCTATCCTAACGCACAAGACATCGAAATTCATCACAAAGTCATTAACATCTTCTGAGGTTAATGATTATTTTCTTCTCTCTTTACCGGTGTCTTCACAAGCCTAGAGGACAGAGGAAAAAGAAAACAGCCCCCAAACACTAGTCTCAACTGATACATGACAACACTGCTGTTCTTTATCTTTCCTGTCATGGCAGACCCATAGTATATCTCAGAAATGGGTGTGTCCATGTAATTTCAGTCTTTCTCCTCCTGAAAGCAGAAACAATAAAGGCACAAGCTTATTTTCAATGGCTTTTGCTCTATTTACAGTGCACAGTCTAGTATTAAGGAGCAGAAATACCATGCACACAGACTAACAATGGAAATAAAACTTGAGCCTTCCTCTTTTGGTAGCTTTGCTACTGCAGCTCACTAGAAGCATTGCCATGTCTTACATAGCCTCTTCACTTCAAAGTTCTTTGTGTTTGTAGCACGAGGCCCCCAGACTGCGAACACGTCTTCAAAATGTGTTGTTTTGTTTCCTCTGTAGCTCCATTCAACCCTCTCTTCTCATCCACCTGACGTTTTCAAAAAAAAAAAAGGATATATCTGGGACAACTGGGTGCAAAATGGGGATGTATACACAGCACACTGAAGACAATATCAAGCATTATACACCCACTGTACACAGAGCCAAAAACACTGTGATGCTTGAAATTAGAATGGCTTTTCATGCAAACATAAGCGCTTGCTGTGCAGGTGACAGGCTGGTATTGCAGACAGAACTGAAATGAAAAACAAATCCAACTGCTATTTTAAATAAAACTCCACTTGGCGGCAGCTTTGCTGCACTAAACCAAACAGAGGAACAGTGCCTGGCACGTGACAAACGTGCAGTGTTAAATACAGATAAAACTATGAAATGAGTTGCCACCCATTTTTGCTCACCACACCACATCTGACCTCTGGCAGAGCCACACTAATATGTTTAATGAACTCATTAGTCAAAAATGAAGACAGGCAGTGGCATGAGGCATGGAAGGTGGAAGCACAAAGGGCAGAGAGGGAGGGAAGGAATTAAAGGAAGGGGAAAGAGACTAAACAGATCAGCTGAAATGAGGGGAGGGCTGCCACTTCTCTAAAGCCCAGCTTCCTCTATTATAAAATGCCGGATCATGACGTGTTGCAGTAGGCTGCATGGTCGCAAATGCAACATTGGTTCACTGCAATCTACTCAATTAGCAGGAAAAAAAAAAAGCTATCTTGGAGGAATTCTGCAAAACAAAACCAAGTACAGTTTGACTGTTATCCCTACTATTTGATTTAATTATGCAGCCTGGAATGAACTGTTCCAAATATTTGCATTTGGTTGATATAAATAGTCCACCCATGACTACACCTATTCCAAAAATGGCAATGCCCTGATCAAAGCAAACAGCTGCCAACACATGAGTCACTTTGCTTTATGTTAAATAATTGGCCTCTTACAGCTCATATTCAAACAGGCATCTGTCTGAAGCAGCAAATGGAATCCAAGACGGAGCTCCCCTGCCACAGCATAGACTGCTCTCACTGCAATATATATGGCTGTTTACTTATTCATGAATGGATTAGGGCTACTAACTCAATCAATCTGCTTCCAGTTACCAAGGCTGACTTTATTAGATAACATTAATAATGTATTAGTTGTCCATAGGTGTTGCGTTTCTCTCTTGTCAGCAGCTACAATTCAAATGAGAACACAATGGATACTGGCTGTAAATGGATCGAATTTTAGGCATAATTGTGGCACTGTACAAGACTACAAGCTAGTAATTTATTGTCAGACAATATGCTGTCAAAGAAAGAAAAATCACACTATGCCTCCCAGAGTTTAAATGTCTTGTAAAATCAGCAGCAGACATTGGGTGTTATGAAATACTACACATAGGCAAAAAAAGCCATATTTCAATACACAAATTGACTTCTTGAGAAAGCAATATGACATTGCAGTTATTCGCCATTGAATGTCGTATTAAATAAGATTTAAAAAGAGACGAGCACCGTTTCTTCACATGCGTCGATTTTAAATTTATTTCTGAGATCATGACAATATACTGAGTTTAGAACGTGAGCTCCACATTTGTTGGTAGAGATGGGCCTGATCCGATCCAATGTCGTGCAATACAACCTACAGGGGTTTCACGTGAAAGAGTACCCAGAGTCCATGCTAGCCAGCAGACAAGAAGATGCCACCAGGCAGCAGACACTCACTGATGCTTTCCAGAAACTTCCAGCAGACAAGCCAAAGGCTAAAGGGATTACAGAGAAGTTGCTCAACTTCATTATACTCCATGACCATCCACTATCTCTAGTGGAAAATGTTGGATTTCGCAGCCTGCTGGAGGCACTTAGAGCCCAGGTATAATCTGCCATCCAGAAAATACATTTCAGAGACTGCTATACCTGAACTATACAACCAGGTGTCATCACAGTTAGCGGCACCGTTAGAAGATGTTCAGCTTCACAACTGATATTAGGACCTCAGAGTCATCATAGGCGCTCACATCTAAGCACCTATGATGCTGGACCCTCGATACAAAGACAGGAGAGACAGATTTTTTAAATTAACAATAAATTATTAATGCCCTAATGTTGGCTACATTTTAAATGATAAATGTGAAATCTTACAAAACCAAAGCCACATGTTTATTTCTAGCCCAAAAGTGGAGCATTATTAATGTGCAATAATCTGGAGAAGTGTGTGTCCTTGGCTTCTGACCATCTATGGTTGCACTTATCCATCATTACTCATTCAATATTTTGTTTATTGGTGTTGTTTTATTGCAATGAAAGAGCTCTCGTATCAGAATCTGTATCAGAATCAGCAGGTGTGTATCAGAATCAGATTGAAAAAATGTGGATCAGAACATCATCATTTAGTGGCACACATCATCCAATGGATGTCTTTGTGGGAGACTGAACCTCTGGCCTTACCAGGACTGACCAGTCCCTGCCAGCTGAGCTGAACAGTGAACCACAATCAGTCTGTGTATGTGGGCAGTGTCATCTGTATTATCATCAGCACCACAAAATATGTGTGTGCATTTGACAAGAGGATGGCAAACGGAGACCACCCTGCTGGCTCCCTCTGACTGTTCTGATGTGTTGAAGCATGGACTGAGGTTCATACCATAGGGCTTTATGACACAATAACCACACTAACCACACCTCCAAACACTGAAAACAAACGCACGCCCGGCTGTGGGGATAATTACAAAGCCATTCCCGATACAAGCAGCAAATGCACTAAAGCTGAGACACAGGCAGCTGTTTTGTCCGCTCGCCACATAAAAAAAAAACAATGAAGGAAAAGACACTGAAGGATACACACACTTATCACACACCCCCCGTGTCATGAGTCCGTATTTTCACGTAGTGTGTGTGTGACAGTGGAGGTCAAACGCATCCATCGCTCATCTAACGGTATGAACTCACAACAGACAGAAAATAAACGCAGCTAGCTTATAGGCTACACACTTCTAGCACCGCTGATGCCTTTAGCCTTTAACACAGCTGCCCAGTGAAAGCACTTTAGGCGTTCATCCACGGTGCACAGTCCAGGTAATGCTGCGGACATAAAGAAGGTTTCAGGCTAACTAACCTGGTGGATACGCTGTAAACAAAATAGTTTGGAAAGCGAATAAGCAACAAAGGAGGATGCGGGGATGCAACGTACATATGTATCAGCGGAACATCCCTCTAAAGCAGGGCAACACTATCCGGGTAACAGCGATGAGAAAACGGGACCAAATCATTCTACCTAACTGCTATTTGCTCACCGTGGTCTCAGCAACGACGCAGTCAACAGGCCGGGATGTAGCGGGGGATCTGTGGGCTGTGCACTACCTCCTTAGCTTCCTACATTTCCGCCATGCAGCGAGACTATAATCACCTACCTCGACATGATACACCAGCTTCCAGTGGCATCCGACCAGTGCTGCGGAGGCTGGGTCTGACGCAGCAGGAGCCGGAAAACGTTGCTCCAGAAAAATGAATAGAAAGGCTGCGGCGGAAGCAGGAACTGGGGGAGCTAGGATCTTCACGGCAGTCGAGGCTACTCTGTGGGGATCTGCTGGGTGGCCGGTGTCAGCGCAAACCAGACACGGGAAACTTGACATCCGGTCGCGATTTTCAAAATAAAACGGCTGTTGTCACTGAATACAGTAAATTTGTATACGATCGGAAATATAGATCGGTTAGTTCGTTAGTTGTTATTAACGATTTGTTCGTTTTTTTTTTTTGCTTTCAGAATTTCATTCTATACTGTTAATAACTTAATAAGAGCTATAATGAATAAAACCATAAATAAAAACTGACAAAAAGTAAAAAGCGTTATGAGTTTGAATTCCCTGATAACTGTTTATTAGCTGTAGGCTACTAAGCACCTTAAAATAATCATTTTTGAACCTTGTGTAAGTATTTAGACTTATTTACACAACTTCAGCCTAATAGAAATAAAACCAAGTTCTCCAAGTGTGTGTTTGGTGACAAGTCTAACGATAATTAAGATAAAATCTGATTTTAAGACAGAATGCCAACTAATAATACACAATTATACAAATCCATTTCTTTTTGTTTAATGTTTAACAGCATTTTAATTTTCCATTCAAACACTTCAAATGACCCCTTTACAAATGGCTGTAGACTACAGATTTACACATTTTGATGAGAACTCGTTTTAAATGCAGTGACTGTTCCCCACGCTGTTTAGTGCAATTTATTTTGAAGACACGATAGCGTGACTTCCTGATTGAATGTGGCTCTCACTAGTCGACTTGACTCTGGCTGAGGCACCCTGGAGGTGATCCGATGGACTGGTAGCTGCAGTGCGCACACCAGTGTTGGGTTGTTGAAATGAAGCCGGGCTCATAGACCCGGTGCCACCGGGGTGTCACGGAGGTCACAACTACCCCACGATGGATGACACTGTCCCACTTTAAGACTGGCACAGCATCGGTGCAGGAGAGAGTGTCTAGGACGCATTCCACAATGTAACGTGATCATGTAGCCCAGCCCATTTTCTCATTCCTCAACATAATCAGATAGTTCAATTCCTTATCATTTAAATGATAAGAAAACCAAATAGCTTTGATGCCCATGTTGTTTTCATCTTGCTTGATAAACTCGGTGCAGTGGGAATATGTCTAGACAGACCAAAAAACACCATTGTTCTTTTTTTTTTTTTAACCAGGTGGATGAGAAAGGGGATTCACATTAGGCTGTCATTGCTCAGCTGCACCATCAAGACAGATTATTCAAAAAAGTAAACATTTTTTAATGTGTCCTTCATTCAAAAAGAAGTAGTTACAATATTTACATTGTACATGGAAATCGACTACCTGTCTTAAAGAGCATTACATCTGACCACTTGGGTTACTTGTAACATTTTGAGTAAAACTGGACTTTTTTCATGGAAGTACTCCTCTGCCATAACATAAGAGGCATATTAGTGCAGTAGCAAACATAAACATCAATTTTGTCCATAAATTGTTGAACTGACTTGTGGTCAAATGCGTTTCAAAACACGCAAACACAAGTGTTTCAAAGCAAAAGTGAAGGACAAGAAGCCAAGGGCAGTGTTTGAATGGGTGTTCTGAAACAATAAACTGGCTTTCAGGTAGCAATTTGTTGCCTTTGAACATGGAATTTGCTGTACCGCTCTCTGAGAACTACTGTATTCGGATGTTTTTCTATCCCCCCTTGTTCAGCCTCACTTGAGAATTAAGCCACTAAATCAAATTCATTATACCCAAAGGCTTTCCATTTGTAGTTGCTTCAGCATCCATCTTTGAAAATAATCCAGCATGCCTCTGAGGTCTCACTCCTGTGATGAGGAGCTGAATCACAATAACAACCCCCACCTACATTTACCCCACTCATATTTTCCACCTTAGTAGTTCTGAGTCCTAAAACCTGATGCAATGGCGCCATCATGTAGTACAAATGACACAGTGCACCAGCTTTAAGAGGAGCGTGGTAAACAAGTCTGAAGAATTTCTTGGCAGTGTAGATGAAAATTTAAAGAGAAAATGTGACTCATAAGATCTTTGAATTTTATTTCATCAACAAGTCTAATGCTTTATCCAAGCAAATTATTAATCTCTGGTTCAGTATAATTGTTACTGACATACATGCATACAAAACGTCATCCTCCCACATCCCACCCCCAATCTCCCAAACACTTGCATAAGATAATTTAGTCAGTCAGTCAGTCAGTGTTGTTCTCAGCTGTGTGGAAGCAGGTCGATCATTCGTGACATTTCTGGCTCTACTGGCCTTTTCAGATTGAGACACTGAGGTAAGATTTCTAAAGAAGAACATGCGAATTCCATCCACCTGAAGGAAAATCCAGAGTGGGATGATACATGTGTGGGGGATATGGAACACAGATGCTGCATTATGTATGCAAACCTAGTCTGATGGTCTGGACTGAACTTCTATTCAATTTTCAGAAAAAAAATCGGACTTGTGGGCAGCAATTTGGTTTGTAAACAGACTAGGACTGTCCAAGAATGTACAGTATATTCATAACATGTAACTTCTTAGGAGCTTTGTGCTTGTAGTGCATTTTGGGCAGGGTAAGGTCCTGTGCATTAAAAAAAAACAGTGTAGGAAAGCAAGTTCTTGTGCACTTGAACTTTGGGCTGAAGACCTGAGGAATAGCAATAGATTGATCCAGCTGTTGCTGTTCAAGAGTGATTGCTGAATGAGGCACTGTCAGTAATTAACTATAACATTAGAAAATGTAGGGATTGTATTTGAAGCTGCTTAAAATGAGGACAAAATATTTAACTGAGAATCTAACACAACCTGTATATAGGTCATGGGGAACTTGCAGACACCTGAGACAATATTTTGCCTACTCACCAAATAAACTCTTTCACATTTGCTAGTGAAAAGACACTGCTGTTTAATAAAGAGATGGCTACAACAAATCGTGTGACTCTTGCTCTGACTCTAAATAATGAACCCTTTCCTGAATAACAGGGGCTTCAGAAAGTGTTCAGACCCTTCACTGTTTTAGATTTAATTTGAAATGGATAACATTTTGCCACAAATCCGCACCAAATAACCCAAAGTAACCATTTGAAAACAAGTTTTCAGAATTGTTTGTAAATGTATAAAAAATTAAAGACTGAAATCTTTCACGCATTGAATTGTTCAACTTTTAATTCAACAGCTTGGAGAAGTCCATTTGGCAGCAATCACTGCTTTGAATTTTCTTGGGAAAGTCTCTACAAGCTTTGTACACTATGGTTTGAGCAGTGTGAAGTTTGGGTGATATGATGTTATACAGTACACTGTGATAAAGATATAAAATTGAAAAAAAAAGGTCATATCTTTTACACAAGGTGTAGACAGTGTTGTAAATTCATGAACATGACAGTTTTTATATGATTTTAACATCAACACAAATATGTACCTTGATTTTCCAGTTCCTGAATTGGAGCCACGAACAGACATCTTGGTGTGGTTATTTGATATATAAATTGCATATTAAAATTACATTTAGGTATTTTATCTAGTGATAGCACAATATAAAAATGCATACATTATGACTGGGGATTATGTGCCATTCAATGCATATTACAGACAACACTCAAAAGGGCATTTTTGTCAAGCATGGCTAATCACTCTGGCATTCATCCACCAGTAATTCTGTAATTTACGTTTTATTTACTTTGTACATTCTATGGCACTTTGGACCCTGAGGTATGTTTTGTGCATGTCAAGAATTTCATGCCACGTGTCATGGCATAAATGCATTTAAATGCACGATGTGATCCTTGGGGGCCTGTAGGACAACTTATATGCGAAAGCATAATATTAGTAAAGGCATTTCAGTTTTCAGTAAACAGAAACCAGAGAAACAAACAAGAACAGAGATCTGCATAATATTTCCTTATAATTCTAGTATTCATTTGATTTCTATCCACAGCTTTTTAATTTAGTTTCATATGCTAGGTTGTTTAAACTGGTCTCCTGCTAACTCTTAGAATGAAGACACCTCACTGGGAGCAAACATTGCCAGATTTTCTGTTTTGAGCACCAATACACCCACATTCAGGATTTAGAACAGAAAGGCCAGCAGTCAATTACCCAGTGTTACAATCTTAGATACTGAACAGAGACTGAATTTAAAGTGCTTGAAATGAAGCCTACCACAGGTTTAGAAAAAGCTATTAAAAATAGATAAATCATAGCTAAATGAAAGTAGCACAGTAAGAACATGACCAAGCAGATATGAAAGGAAGCATTAAAGGGAGATGAGATTTTCTCATGTTGGGTTTGTTCACATCAGGAGATGACAGTCATTTCAGAGTCACTGGAGTCACCTACATTAAGGTGTGAATTACTTTTGAAGGTCATGTCAGAATAGAAAGGTAAGTAGCTAGTAATTGGTGTCACAGTTTGTATTTCAGCTTAGAGACAGCTTGTCTAAATCAACACAGACATCCTCATTCTCTCCTCTATCAAACAATTTGTCTTCTTCCTTTGAGTTGTACAGTAATATTATTGCTGGTAAAGGAAAGTTGACTGACCTCTTGATATCGGCAGACTACTGAATCTTAACTCATGGAGAGAGCTGCTAGTGGCTCACGAGTTTATTCAGCAGCTGTTTTGTCTTCTTGACACATGGCTCGGAGCATTCCTTGCTGCAAGTTTGGAAAAGCTAAGGCAGGCAGAAGAAAGCAGATTTTATTTCTGTATTGATGCATCATGTGAAAGCACATCCTAAATCTATAACGACACATTGTTTATCTGTAAGTGAAACTACTCAATCTTGTTAAACTTTAATATTCCCATATTGGTCTGGTGCAAGAAAACAAACACTTGAACATCTGGCGTAATAAATATTTAGAATTCAGGTCATGTTGTAAGGCCTTGTCCAGACAGTGTCGAGTTTTCCCTGCAGTACCTCGAGCCTCCCCACATCCCCGAACAAGTTTTATTAGGTCACGGTCGACATTTATTCTAATTGCAGCTATAGCCTAAAACAGCTGTCACATAATTGCACCAAATGAACTTTATGTACAACAGATTGCTTTAGGATGTGGAAGCAACTTTTAGTAAGCTAAATATTCAGAGACATTTACCTTTTAC